CAGACCAAGAAGTGATTTAAAGATGAAAATGTACCAGTGAGAGAGTCTGCGTGAAGTTAATGATGTCCAGTTAACCAATGAATACAGGGTGCAGTGGTGGGTACGATAATCACAGCCAGTTATGAATCTTAGTGCACCATGATAGACAACATCCAACATCTGCAGGGTTCTTGTAGGAGCGTTCATGTAAATAATATCACCAAAATCAATTGAGGGAAGGAAAGTCACAGATACAAGGCGTTTTCTAGCATTCAGGGTTAGACAGGATCTGTTTCTGAAAAAGAAACCCAGTTTAACTTTCAGTTTCTTTACCAAGTTTTCCACATGGAGCTTAAAAGAAAGATGTGAGTCGACCAAGATACCCAAATATTTATAGGAATCAACAAACTCAATGGGGACACCATTTGAGGATAAAATCGGAGGAAGAACTGCTGGGACCAACTTCCTATTTGAAAAAAGCATCCCTTTGGTTTTTTCGGCATTTAAGACAAGTTTGAGGTGAAACAAATCAGTCTGGATGTAGTTAAATGCAGATTTCAGAAGCTGGAAAGCCTTAGCAACTGTTTTAGCTCGACAATAAACAACTGTGTCGTCAGCATAGAAATGTATGGATGCATTAGGGATGTTTTTACCTACATTATGTATGTAGATTGTAAAGAGGGTGGGTCCTAAGACTGAGCCTTGTGGTACACCATTGTTGACTGTTAAATAACTGGAGGAAGTACCATTATGTTGAACACATTGCCTCCGGTCTGAAAGATAGTTAGAGAACCAACCAATGGTGTGATCTGAGAAACCGATTTCTGAGAGTTTATGACACAAGATGTTATGATCCACAGTGTCAAAAGCTTTAGACAGGTCTAAGAAAAGTGCAGCACAATAATCTTTAGCATCCAGTGCTTCAACAACGTCATTAAGAACCTTCAGTGAAGCAGTGGTTGTGCTGTGTTGTTTCCTGAAACCAGATTGATGTGGAGGTAAGATGTTAAATGAGTCCAGGTAATTTTTAATTTGAGAGTTTATCAGTTTTTCTAGAACCTTGGCTAAAATGCAGAGTTTAGAGATTGGTCGATAGTTGTTCAGTGATGTGGGGTCACCTCCCTTCAGCAAAGGAAGAACAAAGGCTGTTTTCCAAGTGTCTGGGATGGAGTTTTGTCTTATGGAGAGATTGAAGATGTGGGTCACAGGGACTGTGATGATATGAGCAGCCAGCCTTAAGAAATAAGGTGGAAGTTCATCTGGACCTGCAGATTTTTTAGGATCAAGATCTTTTAACAGTTTATTGACCTCACTGACTGAGAATGGAGAAAAAGAGAAGGTGTGATTAACTGAGGATTGACTTGTAGGAGGGATTTGATTTGTAGAAGTTTGGTTATTAAGTGAAGTGGCTG